TAAATTGAATTTTTTTATTAGGTTACTGGATCAGTTTGCGGGATGCACTACTCCCGTCCTATAGCTATATTATGTAACAAATGTCAGTGCTCATATTATATTGAACTTGTGTTACAATAAAAATTAAAAAAAGTATCTTTTTCATTCTATCAAATTTGCTTTATTTAGTAAGACAAAAAGGCGAAAAAAGTAAGCTATTAATTACTCGAAGATTCCAAAAAGAAAGTCCTTGTCACCTGCATTTTACAAAATAAAGACACGATCTGTTTATTTGTTAATTTTATTTTTGTAGATGATTAGCATAATGATCGATTTCCCACTTTGTATTAAAAGGTGAGTACCATGCAAAAGTTAATTAATAATACTAGAGGTACACAAGATTGTGACGAGAGAAAATTTTTAGATTTAAGAAACCGTTTTCAAAGGATGCTCCTATTTTTTGGGGAATAGTTTACAAGTCAAGTCTATAATTATTCTTAACGTCAAATTTTTACAAGAAATAAAAGTTTAACATCAATACTGCAATGCCTGAAAACTCGTCTAACTCGCCACGCATGAAAACATGTTGTTGTTGCATTAATTTAAAGACTGGTGTAATAATTATTAGTATATTGTGGTTTGTAAGTTGAAATTATTAATAAAACTATTAATGACCCGAAACAGTTATTAAAGTAATTTTTTATTTTTAGGTGAATGGCCTTTATGAGTCTATTACTGACTTCATTGCATTAGGAAATACTGATAGAGATAACTGTAAAATCGTTGCATATATCATATTGATACTTATTAATATTATACTTGTTTCTAATTTAAACAAATTTTATTTGACAGTCTATTCATATGTATTCAGCTTAACTCTCATCACGGGAATAATGTCAACATTAACTGTATTTGGAGCACTTTACGGATTAATCGTGAGCTTTGCGGTAAGTTGTAAACAATTAATACATAATTATAATTAACGTGAGTTTGATTGAATTACTATCGTTATTATTTTTGTTTTCCAAGAAAATAACACAAGCTTACGTGACAATTGCATGGCTTATCGTGGCACGTTACATCATCAACAACCTCATCGGAATTATTATCTTAATTTCACTTAAAGATGCGTTTCTTTCTAATTGTGAGGTGCTGAAAGAAATCTCAGATGAATACTCAGAGAATATGTGTAATTCTGCGTATGATAACGTGCTTTTATTTGCAATTATTGATGATTTTATTATATTTATTATTTCGGTAAGTTATTTTTTGCATCGGGAGACGGAATCTGTCTTGTTTAATTTCTGAAAGCATTAATTTAACAAATTTATTTATTATCGTTATAATAGACTTATTTTGCGACTGTAGTCACAGCATGTAGAACTCAGCAATTAGAAAAAGACAAAAACCGTGGAAGTCATGGTGCTTAATCTTTGTTATCTTAAATTATAGTATCTCTAAACAGTTTACCCTGTAAAAACACGTTTTCTCCTATAAAAAATATGTAAACACACATAAAAATACGAGGATCATCACCTGGAAAATCGAAAGTTCCACATGTAATATCTTGTCCTACCAAAATAGAATATTTGTATATGTATATACAATTATGAGGAATCGTTTATCGTACTAATTCTTTTAGATATGAGTTTCTCTAACTCACAACAGTAATACAAGCCCCAAAGCTCAAGAAAAGCACAGTTGCCTCACTTTAAAAGCATTTCTCAAGGCAATTATCATGAACATTTGTAAAAAAAAATTGATAATGACGCGAACCATGTTAACTATTTTATCTAACTTTTATCATTAATAAATTCTCTTTATGAAGCAGTTTATCACAAAGTTTAAAAGACCTATAATGTGATAAATTGGCATACATTCAGCTCGCATACTCTTCAAATAAATTGATGTTAATGTTTCATCAAATAAAAAACAATGTGGATTTAATTGGAGTGCAGGATACCTAATAATCTTTGTTAAAAAGACATTATATCTTTGTATGAATCTAATATAGCAACAATGATAATTTGTAAATTTAGATCAGGATGTTAAATTAGCTTGAGTTTTGGAATTACTTTATATTT